TAAACATTTGTCCTTTGAGTGGTTATAGTGATCACCTCATCTCTTCTGGCTCAACTAATGTTTGATATGCCACAAAATGGATGATTCCTCTCTTTCTGTATCTAATTACTCAATGGAGCTTTTCTTTTTCTAATATGACAAAGGTTTAATTGATGTGAAAGTGCCCCACTATCTCATTAGTCACCCCCCACCCCACAAACACAAAGCAAACTGACATATTGTTCTTTACATGGTAAATCTACCAGGAAATTGTTCATCCTAAATAGCGTCCCCAGGAAAAAGGAAGCTGGATGTGTTCTGTCGTGTAACAAATGATAAACTGGAGTTGTTCATCAGGAAGTTACCACATCACAGTCATTATTTTCATTTAAGGAAGATCTCAAATATCAACACAAATATTGCCCTTTCTGAACTTCTTTAGGGGTTTGGAGAGAGTTCGATTTAGAAGCAGGCAAACTAAGATGTACTGATAGGATTAAAGGCTATGTGGAAACTTAATTGGTTTTGCTGTGTTGCTATTTTGTCAATTTAATAACTGAATATAAAGCTTAAGGTTTCAAAGAAAATTCTTTTTTACAAAGACTTACGTTCTTGTGAAAAAAGGAGTCTTGGAAAATATGTGTATTATATAATACAAAAAGTAGTAACAGGAAACATACATATAACGCTTATCATGAACAAGGTATTGTTCTGCATCCTGTTTTCCATACAGTAAAAATTCCAATAACCACATATCTTGGCTGACTAAGAAGCACAGAAGGGTCATTTTTTTTTTTTAAAAAGCATGAAGAAAAGGTCATTTATCTGGCACATGTTCAATGTAAACAGACATTTTAAGACAATGGTGACCTCTGACATTGTGATCAATAACTGCCTCAGATTTCTACTTGCTGACCAAGAAATGGGGTTTGACTTGTGCAGCTCCTCTTTCATATTATAAAACACTGTTCTGATGAAAGTGAAGTTATCATCCAATGCTAACAGTGCAGGACAGTGGGCTGGAATCAAGTGTAATTGAGTTCCGTGTGTTTCCCCAGGGGGTTGTCCCTGATCTAGTTTCAACATGCACAGCTCCCACCAGGAGGCCTGAGTGGTTTCACCAGTTGCCCACCAATTTTCAGCCAGGGAAACTAACAGCATTATGTAAAGAGGAAAAAATAGCTCAAATATTCTTTTTATGTAACTGAATCTGGAAAAATGATGCTCTACTTTATGCCTGACATTGCAATAAGCCCCTTAAATGTATTAATTTTAATTCTCGAAGTGCTTCTGAAAAATCAATGATATTTTAATGTCACTAAAGAGGTGAATAACTTGAAAATAAGAAAAAAATAACCAAGCTATCATGGTATTTAGGGTAGAACAAAGACTATGCGCCCAGTTAGAAAGTAATTCAAGGTATTAACTTTTTTTTTTTTCTTCCAGGGTTTAGATTCACAGTGAATGTCCAGCAGGATTTAGTAACCCTTGATTCAATGATGAAACTGATAACTAAGGACACCACTTCTCTCTTCATTATGAATTCTGAGTGGAACCACATGGTAATTTAAATTTATCAAATACTTGACAGAAGCTATAATTTACTAGTACTCAAGAAGATGCTAGATATTTTTTTTCTTGTTTGTTCATTAACAGCCTTGTGAAGGCACCTAAAGAATGAACATGGTACATTTGCAGAGCAAGAGCCATTTTTTGAAGGAGATGGAGGGTGTGAATAATGAGAAAGCCCTCACGTGTAAACAGGTGGGGGGAGTGAAACACCCAGAACGCTTGGACGCTGAGTTTATAAAACTGTGCATCTCTTTTCAAACTGCTGCTTTCACTGGCTTAAGGACTAACAAATGTGCACACCAGGTACATGAATTTATGAATATTTACCTCAATGTTACTTTCCTAGTCAGTTTCCCAAAATTTGTTGATACCAGAAATAATAATTACCAAGATATATCTAACAGTATGCAAAGTGTAACAGTACCAGCGATTAAAATTGTTGCCGATATTTATTTTATATATTTATTGAAAAGAAATAGTAAGCAGAAAAGAGATTTAATAAAAGCACTGCACTCACAAGCAAAGACTCCTAGGAGGGAAATTCAAATTCAGATTCGAGCATGATAAAAATAAACACCTATTCCCTAAATAATGGTTGAAAAATGGAAGTGAAAATTATGTAAACCAAGAATTTTATAGGAAACGGTCCCATAAGCAGAACCAATTCTGCCAAAGAACAACACTGCACGCAACACTAAAGAAGAACACAGACAAAGGAAACCGTAGACAACTGGACAGAAGCAGCCAGTGCCGACAGAGATGTGACTTTCGTGACAATGCGATACTGAAGGAGAATCCATTCATGGCACACACTATGCAGACCAGTGGAGATGAGATCTCAAGATACTAACAGTGAAGTTGAAGGGCTTGATTAAGTAGGAATTGAATTGAAAACTGAGGAGTGAGGAAGGAGAAAAAGAGAGGTTTACACTAGACTCGGTGTGAGGGTATTGAGTAGTTACTGTGAGACTTGATCAGCAAATGGGTGTCTCCTGTTTTGGGAACGGACTTTGGTACAATGGGGAGGAATTTAAGCTTAGGAAAGGAGGCCACACAGGGAACAAGATAAACCGGGTTCTTGCTTTGCTGAGTTTTCTTTCTCGCGGAGGGATGAAAGCTATCCATGAATGAACTAGCACCTGGAAAGTAAACTTTTCTTCAAGATAGTGATGAATAGGGTGAAGAGTTAGGGACAGTAAGATCATCTGGAGTTGCTACTGCATGCTGCTCCTCACTTTCTGCTGTGCTATGATATATAAGAGAGAAGACAGAAGTCAGGTGAATGGAAAGGAAGAGGAAGAGACAAAACAGCTCCCCCGCTTTCTCCCTCTGCTGCTCTCCATCTCACTTTTTTCTACCTCCAGTGCTTTGTTTTTTTTTTGTTTGTTTTTTTTTTTGTTTTTTATTGAGTTTATTGGTACATTTAGGGATACAGTACAGTTACATTCATTGTTGGGATCATGTACCTTTACATGGCAAGTCTTGATTCTCATTTTTTTCCCCTTACCGTTTTACAGACCCAAGTAGAGTGGCCTAGTCTCCAAGGAATGGTTAACGAGACCTATAAGCAATGGCTAGAATAATGGGGCCATTTAGCTCAAGAAGAAAGAAAATGTGACAATTTTAAGTGCAATTATAGTCCTTACACTGGATTTACTACACGCTTAACGTAAGCACTCCACATGAAGAAGATATCCGACACTGAGATAGTCAAGGAGAGGTTCAGACAGAGGAAAATCAGCAGGGACTGTGATTAGCAAGAACCTATACAGTTCTGCCACTGAATACTACATAAAATGCTGGGAAAAGCTGACTATCTAAAAAAAAATCAATTGAGAAAACAAAATCAACTATACACATAGATACACACAAGACCAGAAGACCAGACATTGTTATTAGAATAGTCCATGCGAGAGGATCTCAGAGAAGATGACATGCAAAAAAAAAAGAGAAAAGTCCTAGTGTGGAAAATTACTATCAGAAAGGTTGGGTGCCTGTGCCTAGGACACATGAGGAAAGAAAATTTGTGGGTAGGAGAAGATATACAATTGATATGATAATAATGAAATGAAATCCCTCCTTTTTTATTTTTTTGGACTAGTATTGAGAATGTTGAGGTTACTACTAAGAACAAGGGTGGGATCTTGTCCAAAGGTCCTAAGAAGGTGTCATGAAGTGACAGCAGTTTTCCACACAACCAAGAAGGATGGATTGTAGAGTCCCATGAGGTGGAGAATTGAGTAGATGGTCACAGAGACCCAGACGCTTCTGGGGGCTGAGTCTTGGCTGTGGAGTGGAGCCTAGGAGAGAGGGTGGAAACCTGCCAAGCCCTATCTTCCACACTTGCTCTTGCTGGGAGGTGACTGCTAAACTCCTGCTCCTCAGCCCTTAGCAGCTGCTCCCTAGGTGCCTGGAGACAACAGCTGTAGACAGGAAGGAGTAAAAGTCAAAAAGAGATGAAAGCTATGGATCTTGAAACAATTTTTATTCCAGCATCAGAGTAAGCAGGTTCACTTCAAAATGGAATTTTCACAAGAATGCAAATGAACTAGTCTACTATGTCGTGCAGTTCTCCTGGGTGCTAGGGCATGAGCTAGCAGAGAGTGGTTAATCCATATCTACTAGTCATTTTGTGAATATACAGTACAGTATTACTGAATTTTAAGAAATACCATTTTATAAGGAAAATGAATTGAAATGACCCTAATATTTAGTATTATAAATATCTAGAATTAAATCCAGATTATGATTTATTTATATTTCAGGGCCCACAATTTCCACTTTATGGTACAAGGGCTGTATGGAAATATTACTTATGTGCTAATCACATCAGAGGAGATGTAGACATATCATAAACAAAGAGGAGAAATTATGCATCCTCTAGAAGTAAAATGCATCAGCTTGCATTTTGGGGAAACATGGAATGACGCAAATCTTTCCCTAATCTACTAAGGACTCTACCTGCTGTTTGTTTCTCTACTGCCATAATGCTCCCATTTCCACAATTCAGAAATATGTCACTTAAGGTAATTTGCTGGCAGAGTGAAATAGTACAGACGTTCTGTCAGTACAGAGGTCAGATAATTTTGCACAATGCACTGCAATTTTTTAAGCCTTACAATTTTAATATAAGTGACCCAAGGGAAAGCCCATTATACTGTATACATACAAAAATTTCATTGTGAGCTAATGGAAAGTGAACAGCAAGGTAGCAGCCCAGTGTACTGTCTTCCACTGCTTTGCTGAAATTTATATTCTCGGTGTGTATGCGTTTTTTTTTTAACATTTAAAAAATAAATGGTGGAAAATGTATCACTGTGAAAATCTAGGACCCTTATCTCTCAATGCACCTTTGTGTAAGGGGGGAGCTTTAACACACAGCTAAGGACTGGAGCATGCAACAATGATTTACAGCAAAGCCAAGGGAGTAAGAAAAAAAGTCGACTAACCTAACCCACCTGAGCTTGGCTCACACGGGTCAATGTCCTCGTCATCGCTAGGACATTCTGCGGAGGCCACGAGGATGTCATCTGTGGTCTGCAAAAGAATCACAGTCAGCAGATTAATTTCAAAGGGCCTAACAAACCCTCTCTTCTTTGTCTCATTAACAAGCAAAACACGGTTTGTTCAAATCTCAAAAGGTGAGGAGCAAAATTCAGTATTTTCCTTCCCAAAGACACAGAACTTAAATTCATGAATTTATTTTCGCTCCCTCCTGGCAGGATCTTTATGAACATTTGGTTACACTTTATTTTACATGAGGACATAGAAATGGTGATAGCCCACTTGAAGACACCCACCCGGTCAATTGCAGAGAGAAGCTACACATGGTATCATACAGATGTTTAAAACAACCTGGCAGAAACAGATGACTCGCAGTTTATTACAGCCCCAGAGTGCAACAATGAATGCATCAGTGGACTTTATGTAGTACTTGTGCTCGGCTTCCTAAAAGCAGAACGGCCTTAACCTTTTACATTCATTACCAAGTAGTATTTGATAAATCTTTGGAATATAGCTTGTCTATGTCAGGAGACATAGATTAACTAGAGAATCAGACGTATGTACCTTTGATGCAAAAGGGAAAGCACAAACAATCCACTTAAGGCACTTTCCACTTCTGTTCAGCTTTTCCATTCAAATCTCTTCTTTTCCTGTTCAGAGAGCAGCACTGCTTCCCTACTGTCCTTTCCATCATCAAGGTTTAATGAATGAAAAGGGGATTTGGAGTGTGGAGGGGGAGAGGTGACCCCTTCCTCTGGGACATTCTAGTTGCTTCACTGCACTACCGCAAAAAATGATAATCATCAGTGCAATAAAAAGAGGAGTGTGTAAATCCTAGCAGTTAGTCGTATAATCAACACACTGACAAGCTCCAAAGGTTATTCTTTACTGCCTCTTACAAGAAGCAGTAAACTTAGCATAGTTATTGAACAAAATTTCTTAAGGTTTATATCAGATTTGGCTCATATTAAGGTAAAACAGAACCCAAGATACAAGATGAAAAATATCTCATCACACCTGCTAAGGACTAAGGAGATTTGGGTTTCTTAGATGATACTCAGAACTGCAACACTGATGCAGTCTTCATTTGAAAATGGAATTAAACCAATATTGATCCTACTTCAAAGGAAAAGAAGAAATATCATATGACTCTCTTTCAAGGGGCACCTAATGTTGCCAGAGACCAAAGTATAAATCAATAAGTTTTAACAAGGTTGTGGCATTTTAAAAAATGGAGCTAAGGCATGATGTAATTGTATGACAAATATTAGGCTTAGAAATATTTTAAGCACAGGATCTTTCAGAATACAGAATTTGTTCAGATGCTAATGCTTCACAATATAGCTGTCAAAAAATGCGAGCCTTTAAAAAGCAATTTGAGATGTGTTCATGTTATCCTGCTCTTAATTCTCCTCAGTTTCTGGATTCATTCATTTTGCTGCTGTTATTTGAAAAGACGCAGTTCAAAACCTTGTTTCTCCTGGAAGTGGAATGGTTAACAGTGAAAATTATCAGCAAGTGGCATAATTGTCAAGTGTGTATCTCTTGTCAAAGGGGGCTAGAAAGAGGAAATGCTCAGCCTCCTCTGGCTTACACCTCTTGAACAGATCACATCCAATCTGACTTGATAATTACAATTTATTGGATTATGTGGTTTTAAAGGGCAATTGCTTCAGTACAACCCAGGGCACATTATCAGCTTTATGTTATTGGACCAACTTCTGGTGGTAGTACTTTTATTCTCAACCAAAGTGGATGCTCTTTTAAATTACATTAAATTATTAATTTAATTGAAACTAAACTACTCAATTCAATTTATGAGAGAATATCTCACTTTTTCTTAAATAATTTTAATGTATTGATGCAATCAAAGTGTTGTAGTATTCTTGATACAAGGAGCATGATGCAAATAAATGCTTTATCTCTCTGTTTTGTTTTGTTTTGTTTTGAGATAGGGTCTTGTATGTAATTCAGGTTGGTCTTGAACTCACTGTGTAGCCCAGGCTGGACCTAACACAGCAATCCTCCTGCTTCAGCTTCCCAAGTGCTGGGATTACAGGTGTGCTCTACCACACCAGGCCCTGAATAAATGCTTTAAACCACTTGTTGTCATTTCAAGAGAGCTAGTGTCCCATGTCCCTCCCCCAACCTGGGGCCACATTTGATAATACATAGATAGAGATGTTCTAGGCTGTCACAGTGGGGTGGCAGTGTGGGTGGCTAACAGCATGGTACACACACCACAGCTCTAACAGCACAGTTTTCTGATCTAATGTGTACATATTTCAAAGACAAGAAATCCGGCTGCAAAAGTTTAAGAAGTTTTCTGTGCTTGATTTTTCTTCTCTGAAAAATGGGGTGTGGATTGTTGTAAGGATCGAACTGGGACACTGAAATTACCTGGAATAGGGCCACAAGCACTCTACCACTGAACTTTATCCTCAGTCCTGCGTAACACTTTTCAATAATAACATTTTAAAATTTATACTGAAAGTTGTATACACGTATCATTTTTAACTTACTGACTCATGTTAGTATTTGTATTGAAATACAGTAGTTTCATTAATGTTTTGTTAAATTAAGCTTTCATTTTTTACCACTGACATTTAAATTGTGACTTAGGCAAACAAATATGAATATAAATAAATTGGGCTGGTTCTTAAAATAAATGCATATGCTACAAATGTGTGATTCAGTTCATAGCATTTCATGCAAACTAAATTATTTAGGCAATACAAGCCGAATTCTTTTAAAGTTATTTTCTTTTGAACAGTGATACAACAAACAGAAAATGTTGGGATGTTCTCATTGTTACTTTTGCAAAACACAATAACAAAATAACAGGAGATGTCATACCATAGTTTCTCTTTTGCGTTCTTGTGGTAGGAAATACTCACTATGCAAATATGAAACTTTTGTAAAACTGTATTTTAAGTTTTTCCCACATAAAATAAATACACATTCTTTGTTTTCACATTAGTGTTTCCTCAAAAATTAAAAACTAGCAACAGTCTTGTGAATAAAAGATCTCAAGTCAATAGATGTCTTGGCAGAAATCATCATGATATGAAAACTTGGGAAGTGGCTCAAGTGTTAGGAAAAAAATCAAATTTCATTTTGGAGGCAGAATTAACTGAACAATTTTTTAGCTAAAGCTATGTAATTTAAATTTAATTCACTCTGTTTGGTGCTGCCACTGTAAGACTTACTGTTGAGAGAATGGTAAGAAAAAGCTCCAATATGTTACATTAATCAATTCTATTCTTTAGTATATTTTTTCCCTGATGTTTATAACCTTTTTCAGAAAAGAGACAACCTGCTGTAAGAGACAAAATAGTCACTGAGCAACATTCTTTTGCCGAACAATCCATTTAGATAAGTGTCTGTAATTGTGCATTTAACCATTCACAGGTCAAAGTGCCACAACTGGTCTTCCCTAATTTGGAATGGCACGAGCCAGCACATGGCAAACATAAATTCTTGTTTAAAATATTTACTAAAATTAAATTTCTGAGCCTTTGGGGGAAAATGACTTGAACAGAACTGAACAAATAAAGGCAGTAAAACCTATTCCATTGAGCTCTGCATAAGAGCATCCACATGTAGGGTTGGGGGAACCATGATCAGGTAACGTATAGACGTTAGATCAATTTAATGAATACTCAAGGATATTAGGGAAAGACCATTTGATGGGTTAGAGAGTAGAGAAACACTGATGTATTTTTGTTATTTTTTTCTCACAGCAAAATTGTTTTCCTCCTACCATTATTAATTGTGGACCTTGTATACATGTTTGCTGTCACTTTTTAAAAATACAGCCTGCCTGCCTATCTGTATGTAAAAAGAACATGGTGAGAGGATGGATAACTCTAGTATATGACATTATGTCTCTAAGAAGAGCAGCATTCCTAGAATTTATTCCTGGTGATAAACAGCTGTCCTCAAGATTGATGCAATCCAAGGAAGATGCCTACAGGAAAAGTTGGCCAGAAAGACAAATCTGCTTTGGGAGGAAAAGAGTAAACCGGAATTGTGTAAGATGTTCACTGTAGATCTGTTTTCATTAAAAAATCCTTGATTTTTTTCAAGCTGCAATTGAAACTTTGTTTCTAAATAGCAATAGTTTGTCCTGCTATACATCTGAACAGCTCTGGTGCTCACTTATCCAGCCTAATCTTTTATGGTGTTGACTGATGTTCAGACTGATGTGCTGGGGTGGTGCCAGCTGAAGTGTGATATGTTTGGTGGTTAACTGATGGACATTTGCTTTTGCTGATAGCTTTCTGTATTGAGAAGCTGCTCTGGAAGACAGAGGGTAGTTACGTCTGGCTTTCAGGACTTAATCTATTTATTCCGAGAATCATCACTAGGTGAGATTCCTTAAAAAGAACTCTGGGGATTCAGAATTAGTGTCATATATCCCTCATGAAAAGTCCAACCCATTGTACTGATAACTTATGTTTGAAGCATTTTCTAGGAGGCTGCTGAGAAATCACAGTTGTCACCAAGAGGAACAGTGGCAGAAAAGGAACCCAACTGTAACATTTATAGAACCCCCAAACAGTAGTACATTTGATAAAATAAAACCAATGAGGAAATATAACAAGTAGGCGATTTTAGTCAACAACAATTCCATTAAAAGGGCAAGAGGACCCGAGACAGATGTTATAGTAGTTTTTATTGTTTAATTCTTTTTTTTTTTGATACCGGGGATCACACCTGGGCCCTTGCACTTGTGAGGCGGGCACCAGAATCACTGAGCTAAATCCCCGGCCCACATTGTTTAATTCTTCATGGTGGGCCGGGGATTTAGCTCAGCGGTTCGGTGGCCTGCCTTGCAAGTGCAAGGACCTGAGTTCAATCTCCGGTACCAATAAATAAATAAATAAATAAAATCGTCACGGTGTAGTGGACACTATATAAAGATGTAAGTTTAATGACATACTGTTTAATAAAAGTAAGAATAATACACTGAGGTCCACTCTGTAGAAGATGAATTTTAGTGCCAGAGCATCATGAATAACAAAGATAGC